TCAGCTTTCCTGCTCCTCTGATGCTGCCTGGCCTGCTGTGTTCCTCCAGCTCCACACTGTGTTATCTCAGACTCCAGCATTGGCAGTTCTTACTATCTGTGAGTGAGATAATCCTCAGACAGTTTGTTATTAAGAACTATTCAATTAGTTTCATTCTCATGCTCCTTTCTCATAACATTATACATTGTCCCTTTTCCTGTATATACTGAATTCCCTTTTGGAAGTTAGTACAGATACCTAAGGCTCATGAGTTTCAATACAGTAAGGACATGCATTCCCAAATAATGGCTCAGTTACCAAATATGCTAGTGGTGTCAGTCTGAGTCATGCAGCTGGAATTTCCTGATATAATTCTCTGATATGTTGTCCAGTTACTTAACCTTAAGCCAGTTGTCCTCTGTGCCTCTGTGCTTGCAAGAGAAATAAATCATTGAGTTCCTTATCGTGTGTGTCCTGCAAGACATATTGACTTTCTACAGATGTGGATCATCTGAAGAATGCCCCCAAGGTTGAGTAGCCCGTTGCACTTGCTGTACAGGATCTCATGTGTAAAATGAATATCAGGTAAACCTCCAGGGTTGGACAGTGCTCAAGGAACTATACTCCAGCAAAAATTCACGATTCTTCCCATGGGAGGATGAAGTGGGGGTCAAAATAGTGGAAGTACCAAGCGGCTTACTTGTATCCAAAGAAAGGTATTGGTTGATTTAAAAATATATTTTCATTACAGGATTACAAACTACACTTACAGCTCTGGGTCTTACAACCGACTTGAAGAAAATGTTGGATAATGATATAACAACTATCAAATTGAGTGAATTCACGTCAATTTATCCTTTAACTTCAGCGAATAGACAAAGATAAACCATAGAATCACAGTTAAATCCAAGCAAAACATGAAGCATAAATCAACATTTTCCCACTGAATATTTTGGAAATTGGTTGAATCAGATTAGGACATTTTTGTTTTGAAAAAGTTTTGCAATATAGGGAAAAACAAAAATCAGTCAGTCTCAGAATTTAGGGAGTTTATACTAATTTGACAAGAAGAATTCATCGTTTTTAATTAGAAGCCATAGGAAAAGTTGTATTTGCCTCTGAAGTGGATTCTCCAATGTCCGGGGAACATTGGTATTCAGAACTGTAATAAGTAAACTTCCTTCCCCCCTACCATTCCGTCACCCTAATAAACACGATCGCAATTAACCAAAACTCTGGAACATTCTTGCATTGTGCCAAGAGACATTCATTGTCATAGAATCCCTACAGTGTAGAAACAGGCCAGACGGCCCATCAAGTCTGCACCAACCCTCCAAAGAGCATCCCATCCAGACCCACTCTCCACCATATCCCTGTATTAACCATAGCTAATCCCCCTAGCTTACACATCTTTGGACACTATGGGCAATTTAGCACAGCCAATCAATTTAACCTGCACATCCTTGGACCATGGGAGGAAACCTGAGCACTCAGAGGAAACCCACGTAGACACAGGGAGAATGTGCAAACTCCACACAGGCAGTTGCCCAGAGAGAGGAATTGAACCTATGTCCCTGGTAACGTGAAGCAGCAGTGCTAACCACTGAGCCATCATGTGACCCAATTGTGGTAAAGCTGCTCAATGTCCCCACAGTGTTGTCTTTCCTGTTCCTGAGACTGACAGGATAACTAGATTAACTACAAACAGAGTAAATGAGATATTTTCCGAACCAGCTACATTTGAAAAGTCATTTTATAAAATCAACAGTTTAACAACTAAAAATCACAACCAATAATACACCACCTAAAGCAATAGTTTACTCACTGATATGTCTTACTGTTTGTAGATTTATCGGCACATCAAAATAGATGTAATTAATTTTGCAAGACTAGTTTGGTTTCAATTTAAATGTGATTGTCATGTATTTACAGGAACATTACATCAAATAAGGTATCATTCAATAAAATTGTGGATGTTGTAAATCAAAAAAGTGTCTTGTGCTGAACACTGCTCTCATTATTGCTCATACTGCAAACCATTTGAAATTACTGCAGAAATGGTAATCAGCTGATCAGTTTGAAACTTGTTTTTTTATTTAAACTGAGAGCTTTATTAAGTTAATTATACAAGTTAAGTAGTTTTTGTTATGATCTTTGTGAAGACTGATAATGTTCAAGAAGAAATGTGAAACTCTGGTTAACAGCTGAAAAAGCAGCAATAAGGTTTTTTTAAAAACCTTTAGTGTAACAAATGATTTAAACTCTATTGATTAAATACTTTTTTGGTAAGTAACATATACTCTAAACTGAAGAGAGGAATATTCTCATAATTATCACGTCACATTTTCCACAGAATTACAGTTGTTATAATTAACATTCTGTAGTTTTCCCCCGGTTTCCTAATGAGTTCTCATATACCTGCTTTACTGAGTGGTAACTTTTCTTAAGCATCTCAAGATCCTTTCCTCAGTTCATAATAAGTTTCTTAAATCAACCACTGGCTGTAAATTTGTTCTGGTGCCTCTTCTTCCCTCTGGCCATGACAGAAAAATATCTTCCTGAATCTGTGATGGCTTTAGGTTCTTTGCCTAGAGAGGATTCCCTTCTCGTATCCAGGTGTGGTAGCTTACAAACCCTAGCAGCCTATTCTCTCTACTGCCTATACAGAGCTATTTCTGTATATCTGCAATACTCATTGGTTTATAGGGAAGCTCAAAATGGCTTCCGCTGTCCCTTTTCCTGAATGTGCAATGCATTGCTCTTACATACATGTAGAAATGCTAATTAGCTACCTCCTTTCATCTTAGAAGTAAATGAATCCCTCCCAACACAACTTATAGTCCAATATCAATCGCATCTTTGTAGGCATTTGGAAGACTCAGAGTCTACTCCTTGCGCAGTCAGATATTTTCTAATCAATCTGTTCAGAGATGTTACTACACACTATTGGAGCTGGTGGGGTCCTGAACTTGGGCCTCCCGGCTCAGAAGTAGGGACACTACAGTGTGCCACAAGAACCATCGTTGCACATTCATATATTTTCTAATCAACCTGTTCAGAAATGTTGTGACACACCTCTGGATCAGGTGGGATTTGAACCCAGGTCTCCTTGCGCAAAGGTAGGGACACTACCTTTATGCCACAAGAGCCCATTGGACATTCAGAATCTCCAAGCATAAATATTTTGCACCTGCTTCTCAGTAAAACAATCTAGAATTTCCTTTGATCTCTAACAATCAACCCACCCAGGTTTACTGTCTGGCAGAATACACATGACATCCTTCATTTACGCGTGTGTGTGTGTGTGTGGAGGAGTGGGCTCTTGGACATGACTACAGTGTCCTCTCTCTATCACCCCTGCTCCATTATTAAGAAATTCACTGCTTACGGGATTACAAATGTCACTTTAGTGAGGCATCATCCACGGAAACAAGCCCCTCATAAGCACGAGCATCTTCAGGAAAGATGGCAAATAAAGGGTGCATTGAATGAGAATGATTTGGTGATGGGGAGAACAAAATTCTTGATTTATCTTTTGCTGCATCAGAGGAAACCCTGTGTTAATATCTGCACAGGAATAATGGCATGGCTCCAAAAGAGCAGAACTGCTTCTAGCACTTAGTCTTGCCTGATAAAACCAATCTCTAATCTGGGGTTATTAAGAGAACAGAAGATCGGGCACCATGTCTAATATTCTGAACTGCACCATAATCCACTAGGCTGTTTAATGAGTAGAATTTTATAATCTTGCAGTTCTTTCTTTATTTCTCCTGTGATCTTTTACCACATTAAAAAACAACAATGTTTTATTGTCAACAGAGCCTTTGGAATCCTTCTTCAGACAGAAGGACCTAGGTCACAATCCCCTTGTTTCCAGGGTAATACACAGTAGCTGCTGAGATTGTTCCCTGTTACCAGGGAGACAGGAACATTGTATCCTAGCAACAGCCAAACCAGAATTTCAGACTTAAATCACACTGTGGGAAATTGCAGAACAGCTACCCAAAGGAATGAAGACCCAACCTTTAAAAATTCCAGACAACAAGGTGCAGGGCTGTATGAACACAGCAGGCCAAGCAGCATCATAGGAGCAGAGAGGCTGACGTTTCGGGCCTAGACCCTTCATCAGAAAAAAAAATTCCAAATCCTTTTTTGCTGTGTTTAAGGGCTGGTCCAGTGCGGGTTCATTCCCCCTTTCTATTGCAGCCCTGTGGATTCTTGCTGATCAGAAATTAGCAAATAGGTTTTGAAAGAAACAGCATTTTGTTTGTTGAGACCTTGTTAAAAGTTTGCCATAATCAATTTCTGAACAGACAGGGAATTAGTAGCACAGCCATAAACAGAAAAGCATATTGAAGCGCAAGTAGGACCTGTTGTAAATTAAGTTTAAAAAATAGAAAAATTTCAGAGCACCCTCACAGTAGTGGAAGAACTAGATGCTGTCAAAACAAAAAAAAACTGCGCTCCCCTGTTTATTGATATTTATAGGCCACAATTCAAAGACAACTTTTGGTTTTAGACTGTGGACTTAAAGATACAGCTTTAAGTCACAGCACTGTGGAAGAACATGTTGCAGTTTTAAAAATGATGTTGTCTTATTCAGGCAGTGGGGGAGAATGCTACACACCTCAGGTAGGTGCTCAGGGCAGTTTTGTCCAATAACGGACTTTTTGTTGGTTTTTCAGTAACATCCTAGTAAATCTTTTCTGAACTCTCTCCGATTTAATAATATCCTTCCTGTAACAGGGCGACCAGAACCATACACAATACTCCAAAAGTGGCCTCACCAACGTCCTGTACAGCCACAACATGATGTCACAATTTCCATACTCAATTGTCTGAGCAAAGAAGGCAAGTGTACCAAATGTCTTCTTAACCACCCTGTCTACTTGTGACGCCACTTTCAAAGAACTATGTACCTGAACCGTTAGATCTCCCTGCTCAATAGCACCAACTAAGACCCTACCATTAACTGAATAAGTCCTGCCCTTGTTTGTTTTACCAAAATGCAATACCTCGCATTTATCCAAATTAAACGCTGTCTGCCACTCCTCAGCCCATTGGCCAATTGATCAGGATTCCTTTGTAATCGTAAATAACCTCCTTCACTGTTGACTGTACCACCAATTTTGGTGTCATCCACAAACTTGCTAACGATGCATCCTAAATTCTCATCCATATCCTTTATATAAAATTACAACAAAAGTGGACCCAGCACCAATCCCTGTGGAACACCACTGGTCACAGGCCTCCAGTCCAAAAAACAACCCTCCTCTACAATCCTCTGTCTTTTACCATAAAGTAAATTTTTATCCAGTTGCCAAGCTCTACCTGAATCCCATGTGATCTAACATTACTGATTAGTCTACAATGCAGAACTTTGTCAAAGGCTTTACTAAAGTCCATGTAGACAACGTCTACTGCTCTGCCCTCATCAATCTTTCTCGTTACATCCTCAAAATATTCAATCATGTTTGCCAGGCACAATTTCCCATGCACAAAGCCATGCTTATTCCTAATTAGTTGTTGCCTCTCCAAATGCATGTAAATCTAATTACTAGAGGGATATGGGCCAGACGCAGGTAAGTGGGACTAGTCTCAGTTTGGGAAACTTGGTCAGTCTGGACGAGTTGGACCAAAGAGACAGTTGCCATGCTGTATGACTCTATGAATCTCCAACCAGGACCAGTTGTGAGTTCATGAGCATTCAACATAGTAACAGTTTCTTGATTGGTGCCTGGGCAAACGACCTCAACTTTGTGTTTGGCAAAAACGTTCAATCTGTGAAGGGGAAAACATTTCTTTCTCTTTTTCCCGTGGAGAAGTAAAAGAAATCCCAAGCAGCTGGCTTCTTTCTCTGAAAACCCTTTTCTTGAAATAAGAGAAAAAAACTTTCAGAGACTCTGAAAGGGTAAATCCTCAAGTGGTGAATAATAGGTTGGCAGTTGATGTACCCTACACCTTCTATCCTCATCAAAGTGTTGGAATGAACTGGAAGGGAACTAAAGGAAAACAGCTCATCATCAGCCATAATCTGGACAGGGTCCAGAACCTCACTTCAGACATTTTTGTTCCTTCCCAAGCCATAATATTTGCTTCTTGCTTTGTCTCTTTGTATGTGTTTGTGATTGTTTTTAAGAAGGTATAGAGTTATAGAGAGTTATAAATTGGTCATTCATGTTCTGCCATCATTTAAATTTTTCTGTTTGCAATAATTAGCTATTTTCTTGCTGAATATGAGAAATCTGGTTTATTTTAACCTGAGTTTGGCAATTCAGGTAAATTGGCGACTCTGGATAGTTTGATTAAATCTTTTCACATTTGTAACACCGCCAGGAATAGTGGGACTTGGTTTCCAGTGCACCACCCACAGTTCTAACACATGCAACAATCTTGTGGTTTCCCTGTCCACCAATCTCTTTACTCCCTTCTTCTTCAACCACCTATTTAACCTATTCTTAAGTTTTGATTTGGTCTCTGTC